CTGGTCTGAACTGGAAAGCACAGCTCGCGTGGCTGGGAACACACACGGGACCGTCACCCGGAGGGTCCTGATGGATGATCCCACTGGTTTTGGCCCTGGAATTGGGAAGTTTTGTCATCGTGGAGGCTGTCACAGCGGCGCTGGGGAAACCACTTAAGTAAATATGCGAAGAATTAAAATAGTTAAATGAATGAGCAGTGAATCAGCGTTGATAGCGTAGTGATTATTCAGTAACCCGGAGGCGTTACTGGAATCACCACTGCTGTTGGACATCAAATATCTGGGATAGCTGAACGGGAAGCTCAGCTCCACACCGGTTTTTGGGGATACTCACACCAAGGTCGCCTGACCCGCAGGAAACTGCAGTGTGCACATAAACACCAACCCCAAAAATTCCCCCAGGTTTGCTCCGCGAGTTGCGTTCAGAGCCGTACCTGGCTAAAATATGTGGTGGTGTTTTTTAAACTAATATTTACTCCTGCCAGACCTGCACAGCCACTGCGGCTCTGGGGGAGGGAGCAGGAGCTGCTCTGACTCACGGCTCGGCAGAGTTGTTCCCTCGCTCCCAGCTGCCGAGCCCTCATCCCGGGAAGAGTCCACCTTGGCTTCCCCAGGCTGCGGGCAGGCGGCTGTGCTTGTAAAGTCAGGAAACAGTCTCAAAAAGTCACTGGAAAATAAATACTTTCAGTGCATTACATTGGCTTTTGGGGTTGGCTATTTATTTATTTATTTATTACCCAAATTACTTTGCAGAAGAAAGTTTGCTTCCCACAGATTTGGGATCCTTCCATCCTTTGGGATGCTCCACCGACGGAAACCCCAAAATGTAAAATATCCTTGCTCGTAGGTGTTCTCCTGCAATACCGTAGGAGTTGTGGCACAAGCAAACGCAGCTGCTGGACTAGCTGGGAGAAGTTGCCTTTGCTTTCCTTGCACTGCTGCGTTCGCCTGCATATTCAGCCCCGAAATAAAGAGCTTGAAACATCTTCTCCACATACTTCTGCACAAAGCCAGGATGCTTCTTTGTGCAACCTCTTAGAACCAGACTAACTGGACACTACTGGGGGTTTTAGTTGCCTTCCTCTGCGCTTGGCTAAACAAATGCCAAACCTTCTTAAAACTAAATTACTTGAAATATTTACTGTTGAGATGTTGTCCAAGAGGAGGATAGTTAAAACATTAATTCCTTGCATTCCAATGTATTAGGGCTTTGCCCTGCGACTCGCCGACCGCCAGAAATGGGACTTTGCAGATTCGATTCCCTTCCCCCTCAACTAGACAGCCACCCCCATCCACCCACCGCCACCCCCCTAAACTTTAATGCTTTAAAAAAAAAAAAAAAAAGGAGGGAGAGAAAAAGAAAGGAATGCACATCTGGGCTAAATATTTGTTAGAAAGTATTCCCAGGATAGTGGGAGTTCTGGTGCCAGAGAGGAATTCCTGCGGGTTTGATCCATTGCATTATGTACTTGTTCCAAAAGCTGTTTTCAGTAAAATAGATGAGTAAGAAGTCTTAGCCAAGAACAGAATGTCTTTTTTGGCAACTAAAAGGAAGATAGGATTATTTTATTTCAGGTTATGTAAAAAAAAAAAAAAAAGAGAGAGAAGGTGGTAAAATTCTGCACTCGGTGGTGCCTGCAGAGATTTGCATCAGCAAACACAATATTTTGTTTTTCATTTTTCATGGTGCTGCGCACATTTTTGTGACTTCTATGCGAGACATAAATGGGGATTTAAGGTTACTTGTAGAATTACTGCAATTAAAATATCCTCGCTGTGTCTGATTTGGCCTCTGGGTTTTTTTGGCTGAGCAGACAGCGGTTTCGACGGCACGGCTTTCAAGGCAGTATCCAAATCGCTGGCATGAATTCTGCTCCCAAGTGTTGGGGTGAGGAGGGGAGAAGAGGATCGGCTTTGCCTTGACAGTGAAACCCCCCTCTGGAGGATTTTTTGGGGGTGGATACAAGTAGACACTGATGGGCGCAGCCCCGCTACATCGCCTATAGCTCCTGGGAAGGACTGGAAAAGTTGACCTGGAAAATGTCGTGGCCATAAATCAGCAAAGAGGGGGAAGGCATTACGGGGGAAAATTAATGTGTTTTGGCTGGTGGGCAACAGGTTCACCAGCTTTTTCCCATTAATTGAGAATCATGTTTGCACGACACCTACTTTGCATTAACAAAACAATGGATGTTTCAAATAAGACAACATGCCAAAGGTGGTTGTTTTTCCTGTGCAATTGGCTTATTCTCGTAGATGGGAGATGCACACACCTCCCTTCATCCTTCTGCCAGATGTGGCTAATCAGAGATGATAGTATTTAAAAAAACAAATAAAATTGCACCATCTTATACACAGCTTGCCTTGGCTGTGGCTTGGTGTTTGTGTCAATTCAGAAAACACTTTTTTCTTGCTGTGTGGTGTGGGGGGAGACGGCGCGGCCCATGATGGGTGCTGTTGGGTTTGCAGGCGACCTGAGCATCAGGGCTCTGCAGCATCCTGACGTCCACCTTCTTGCTTCTCTGGGAGTCCCGCAGACCAGGTAAATCCTGGTAGAAAGGGATGCTCTGTGCAGTTGGTTTTTTTTTTTTCTTTTGGTCTGTACCTGGGAGTTATCCCTGTCTCAGGGGTAAGATCTTGGCAGCTCCACCACCCTCCAGTGTCTCCTGTGGAGCTTGGATGTGGTCAGCGTTGCACCTCTGAGGGCATTTGCTGTTGGACACGTGTCCTACGGCTTTTCAGGGAGCTGGTTTCTCTCTCTCTTGCCTAGACATCCATCCTTGGCAACATTGGAGGCGTCCTTTGGAGCAGCAAGCATTTGCTCTGCAGCACAAACTGATGTTCTTTGAAGCCATGTGCAGGTTTTGGGGTTTTTTTTGGAAAGTTTTTGGCTGCTCTGAGTGGATGATGGGGTCAGCTGGGATGAGCAAACCTCTGGCTAGAGCCCAGATTTGGACCCCTGCCATGGATTTGGAGGGTTTCTTTGCTCCTGGTCATTTCTTAAAGCAAATGTGAGACAGAGCAGAAGGACAAAAAAAAAAAAAAAAAAAAAAAGGGTTGAAATGCGGACAAAGA